GTTAAGAAGTTAATAGAATAAATAATTGTCGAAACCTTTACAAAATATAAACTCAACCTTGTAAACATGGTATTTGAGCAGCTGCAGGGCAGACTCATGTTTGAGCTGCAGCTGAAATGTTAAACCACAGAGTTCTGCTTGCTTAGCAACAGGCTTCTGAAATAATGGAAGCATTTAGACCTTATTAATAATGAATTGTCCATCTGCATATCTGCCATTTCCCTGACCACGTGTGTGTTTCTGTGTGACCTCAACCTAATTCATTTTAAAAGCATTCAACTGTTATTGATTCATCTCCAGATTGTCTTCTGTTTGAACTGAAACTATTAATCAATTGCTTTAGTTTAACCCCCATTAACAAAAAAAACCTATAATTGTATCTGATGAACATGGAGGGTGACATAATGCTGATGAGACCTATTTCTAATTAGTTGTGGCAAGTCATTAATATGAAATGATTGTAACGTATTTACAGTTTAGTCGTTCAGTCCCTAAGGGAATATAATTTCCTTAATTCATTCAGACCTGATGTTGTTTCCCTGAGGTCATGAATATAAACTGGGACTAATTAATCAAGTCAAGCATTGACCCGGGTCAGACTGCCAGCTTGATAAATAGTATGCACAGTCATTCAAAACACATTACATCATGAAACTGTCCAATGAGAACATATCACTGGGAGTAATACATGTGTTTAATAGCAGACTAATAACACCAGCACATGGAAAATGTATCTGGCATACCATCATTTTATAAAACAGTCTGTTTGGTTGATTGCTTCCTCTGGAAATGCAGCTTATCGAGAACCGCTTATCCAAACAAACCTTACCTTGGACTTAAGAAAAACTTGTGAATTTAATCGGATGGACAAAAACTGCTTTTATTTTAGTTAGATTATTTCAATCCTACACAAACACACACACTTTTCTGTGTTTGTACTGAACTACAACTATTTTAAAAGTGTTTTCATTCACATTAAGATTCATCACAAACCCTTTTGCCTTTTGACCTCTAAAATAAAAAAGAGTGTCTACTAACTTACAAGAAACAGTGAAGATTATAAACGTTAGATTACAAAATACCTCTGTATGAATGTGAACTGGTGGATACAGATTTTTGTTGTAAAAGCTCTTTGATTGGTCGCAAAAACTAGAAAAACTCAATATTGAAATGTAACATTTGCATTTTGCCATGATGACACAGACTTTTATTTCTGGATTGTTCTTTCAAAAACCCTTCAAGTTTACAATATCTTATTAGATCTTGGAGGGGTTCTGCCCCCCAGGTTGTGAACCACTGACCTGGCAGACAAAAGTCTATGAACATAGGCTTCTGAGGTTACAGAGGCTCCAGATAGAGTAAGTGATTGTGACAGTCGAATGTTAGTGAACACAGAGGGAGGAGGCTCTCTCCTTTTGACCTGGAAAAAGGCATTTATTACTCCCCCAGACACTCTTAGCTAATTCCATCAGGGATTTGAGCAGGAAGGGGGACAGTTGCAGATTTACTATCCCTACTCTCTCGTTCTCATCTTCGCTGTCATTGGTTGTTAGCGGGATCCAGCAGGATTTCATGGTGTCTGAGATCTGCTCCCTCTCTCTTCTTTTTGGGTTTTATTTATGTCTGAGCATCTTGTCTTTTGTTTTTCTTTTGTTAACGATTATAGATTGCTTTGCTGAAGGAATGTTACGTTACATTTTCATTTTTTCACAGTGAGGTTTGAGCACAGAGCGTGTGAGTGAGGGGCTGCTAAGCCTCGTATTCTGTTAGATTTTGGGAGGATCATAGCAGAGTGGGCAAAGACTCACACTGATAATCCTCTTAAGCATCCGTGCCAATGCACACACCAACAGTCACACACAACAATATGTGAACACAAACACACATGCTAACTGGAAAAAGCATAGATTTTTTTAAGAAATGACTGTAAATGTTGAGTTTTAACCGTGCTTGCCTGTCTTCTTCACCTCTGAGATAAGATTCTTGTCCTGAAGGCAGAGATTTGGCGTCTCCTGGGTCTCTGGGAGTCTTTAATGTATTCACTCATATCTTTAATACTCTGTTGCCACTCCCAGATCTGCTCCAGGAGGTTTCACTATGTATAAACTGAACCGTAGAGTGTGTGTGTGTAAACCCATCTATGTGCACATATGTGTGCACATAGATGTATGACTTTGCCCCAGCAGGGGTTTGCAGGATGCGTGTGTGTGCAGTAAAAAGCAGTTATTGAGTGGCAGAAAGCCATGACAGCTGAGTATATCCTGGCTCGATGCTGCGGACGTCTTCTGGAAGCCTTGACCCACTTCCAAGTCTCCTCCTCCCCCCATGCCCACCCAAACATGCTGCATAGGGAAGCAGCTCTGCCCCAATCTGCTGAGCTGCAGTGAAGCTCTGCATGCAGATGCTGAGGAGAGGGTGTGCCTGTCTGTCTAAAAAAATACAGTTTCCTGTGTGTGTCTGCATGTGCTGCAAGGTTGTGTGTGTGTGTCTGTGTGTGTGCAGGCTTACGGTAGTTGCAACACCTTGGGCAAAGTCACAGAGTTGCTACTTCTGCTGATTATATTAATGAGCGCTTCACTACAACTTGACATGTTCAACAGCAAGTATCTGATAAAGAGGAAAAGAATGGGCAACGTATCACCGCACAGATTTGGGTCACAGCACTAGGTTTGTTTATAAGTGATACAAGGACAAAGTGTTCATGTCATTTTAATGTTAAAAGCATTTTATTTTAACTTTAAACGTTTCCAAAAATGTGAACCTGTCCTGAAGAATGTATGAACTATGATTTGGGGATTTTTTTAAACCTAACATGCAAAAAAACATTAGGTTTTTGGCCAGAATATGAGTCAACTAGTACAATGTATCAGAGCCAGACACTATGAAAACAGCAATGTCTCTAAAATGACTAAATGTGACTCGTATGTAAATGTATACAGCAGGACATTGACATGAGACCAGGGAAAAGTGAATTATTCTGCTCGAGCCTTTGAAATCATGCACACTCTTGATATTTCCAGAGCAAACAGCCCTGGGTTTAAACCGTCCTGAGCTGGGAGGAGGCCAGACGGCTGGCTGATGGAGGGAAGCTCCACTGGGAGACACTCACTTAGTCATGGCTGTTAGACACAGACAGATTTATACAGATTACAAGCACATACAAGTCTGCAAGCAGCAGAGGCATGTGCACAAACGCACATATACAGAACTGCTTTTAATATAGGCAGAAGGATTAGCACACATTTTGATTCATGGCCAGATGCAGAGAATATGCACCCACTAAGCCACGTCGACAAATGCATGAAGATATGTCTGCAGTAAGTCATAAAGAAACAAATTATGAGTTAAAAACAAAATAATGAGTTAAATTATATTGTAAAATCCTTTTGGATTTGATAAAAATGATCATCTTTCATAACATCCCGGGAAATTACCTTTACTTGTCTGCTTTGACGTGATTATTTCTAATATCAAACCAGATCTGCAGAATATTTTGTCTGCTTATTTGCATTGTTAGTGAACTTCAAATGTGTCTGTCATATCCTCCCTTAAGGCTCTTTGTCACCATATTATCATTCATTATCTCCAACTCTCTGTCATCGCCCTTCAGTCTGCCAGCATCTGATGTCTATCAGGCTGACGTCACTCTGGACTTTTTAGGCAGCTTGCATTTTAACTCTAGTGACAGACCAGACTGATATTTACAGATGAGTATGTCTAATGGTGTCTATCTAATGGTGTCTATCACCAGACTGTCTGTACAGAATGAAGACGGAAAACTCAGTCTTACCAAAATACCTTGTTTTTTTTTTTAGAAATGCTAAACATTTATGCTGTGGATTGTTTCTGGAGAACTGAAGGCCTACAAGTGTTCAAGACTGCTTAAAAACATGAGATGGCATGATGAGCCATTTTCATATGATGAAATGCTGATTTCTTTTTTATTAAGAAGGTACTGTAATGTCAATATTGAGCTAGGCTAGGCTAACCAGCAAACTTTCGGGAAATCTAACGTTAGTGAGCGCTGATGGCTAACAGCCATTAACCATTGAACCTGATGAGTCAGTCAACAGATTGACACACACACACACACACAGTATAATTTCTTTAGTTGATGTTTTTTTAATTTACTTTACTCAGCCACTTACTCGCTTATGAAGGTTGGAATTCTGTGACCTGAGTATGATTTTTAGCTACTTGCTTTTATTTTGATAACTGTTACCAACATAGTGGTACGCTACCATTATATTCGGGTAGGTTAAGAAGATAGAAGGAAATAGTTATAAAGTTAAGAAGATATAGTTAGCCTATGTGAAAAAGTATTTGCCGTTTCTAGCAACATTTATTACAATTAAGTAGCTCAAATCTGATAAAACAACAGAAATTTCCATTTCAACACAGCAATCTTTAATTATATTTGAGGTCAAAAACAAACACCCAGGATACTAAGCTAAATTACATTTATTATCCAACTAAAACATTTAAATAAAGTTTGACTTCTGATACTGATTGATGTTGGTTGATGTTTCTATACGGGACAGACTGCTCTGAAAATCATGTTGTTATAGTTGACTGCAATGACACGAGTTATTTTGTTTCTGTGTTCTTACCTCTACCATGACATATACTATGTTTAGTAGAACAGTCACGCTTGTGTGTTTTGGTGTGATCTCATTTGTCTGATCCACCTCAGCAGTGCTGGTGGGATAGATCCACAAAGGGACTTATATTATCACGATGAGAGCTATAATTTGGGGCACTGCGGGGTGTCATTACAAGTGTCAAAGTGTGATTTAAAGATTGCAGTACAACATAATATTCTATCAACACAATAACAACCTCACTCACTGTCCTGGAGGTCTTGTAGATTCAGATGATGTATGTCAGTTTAGCATTTTCAAAACATCATTATGATAGTTAATGATTATAGGCTATGCTTTTCGGCATAAAAAGGTTTAAAGTTGTTGTTTAACTTATTTTTCTGTCTTTTCTTCCCTCAGGTGTTGTGAGTGCAGCGCCTCACTGTCACACTGGTATTATGAAAAAGAAGGACGGCTCTTTTGCAAGAAGGACTACTGGGCCAAATTCGGGGAGCTGTGCCATGGCTGCAGCGACCCGATCACCACCGGCCTCATCATGGTAAGAGCATCCACCCGCTGACTCTCCTCTCTCATCACCCCCTTGGTTCTTTGTCTGCTGATCAACCTCGAGTTACAGCTCGCAGACACACACCTGAGTCCATACGTCTACAGCCTCACTGACTGGTGTGTGCCAACATATACACATGCTTGTAGGATCCATGCCAGACCTGTAACTGACCCTGATGGCTCAGACTGCTGTGTCAGATTGTCTTACAGACCACCAGTGAGAGTCAGAGCTGTTGTTGTGACACAGGAGAGCAGGGTGGTTCATGTGCAGAATAGATGTGGTCACAGCATCGGAAAGCCAATAAACAATAGAGTGGCCCTCTGCTGATAAGTGCTGCTGCATTATAGAAAAGACAAGATACCAGCATCAAACGAGAGTTGTGTCTATTTGTTGATTAGTGAAGAAGAAACTGATCAATACTGTATGTCTGTGAAATAGAATACGTTGTCATAAACATTGCCCTAGCAGCCGCACAAATGCAGGTGCAATGCAATTTTCCTTAAGCTCCAAATGAAGTCTCCCCAGCTGAGGCAGTAGGACAGGAGCAGCTGAGTTTATGTTAAAGCTGGTTAGGGAACACAATGATCTCTTCAGCCTCAAACAGAGACCACCTCTTAGAACAAGTGCAAGGACATTCTCAAGGCTTGACAAAGAAAGGCAGACAGGCATTCCTTAAACACACGCCTACAATGTAATTTAAGTCATGTCTTATTGTTGATCAACAGAAAGTTCATTAGGAAAGTAGTATTAACTTAGTTAGTATACCACATTTCCAGCTTTTCTGTCGCAAGGATTTGATTCATCTGATTTGATGATAAACTGATTATCTTTTTGTTTTGTTTAAAACAAGATATCTCAAGACGTCAATTTATTAGTTATTTATGATAGTCATTTTCCTATTTTAAAGATAAAACGATGAATTGATTAATACAGAGAATAATCACATTCTGTAAGCATGAAAAAGAATCCCTATTTGCAACCATTCCTTCTTATAATGTATTTGACATATCACTGAATAACATCAGTTCTGCCAGCTTTTCAGTTTGTTTGACAGAGCCGCTGCAGGCTTTATAAACAATTTCACTGATAAATGGAGGTTTCACATAAACTGGTGGGTGTATTTAGAAATGTCAGTACATTTGAATAATGTTCAGCAACAGCAGACTTTACATATTCCTCCCCGCTCTTTCATCACTTTGCAGACTTATTTTTGGTGTACCACCCATAGAGGTACATTTAGATGTATCAGCCACGGCAGCTGACTATGAAAAATGTCATCTGTATTTGGAAGTATTTGAGACTCATATTCTGGAAAACGCCCGCCTGTCTACTTAGCATGAAGCTTTTATGAGAGAAATCTTAACTAATCATTTGCATTTTTGTCATTATAGACAGTCAAATAAGTTCTTTCTGAAGTGGGATTTGACCTAAATGATCATAATTTGTAGTGAAATTGTACACATTTTTTAATATAATCTTTTTTACATTTATCTTTAAATACCAGTACTGCTAAATTATAATTTTTTATTTACTTTTTATATCATTTTTTATAAAGAAAATGTGGCTGTTACAATATGGTTTCGTGGCAAGTTGAGGCTCCCAAATCCCAGACCACTGACTTGATAAATAATGTACTGACTGTCGGTGGTGTTTGATAGGAGAAGATGGTTAAAATAAAAAGCCTAGTTCATTCCTTGCACATAAAGCATCTTCTTTGACACATGTGCCTCCCGGTCGGATACAGCAGCAAGAAGCTTCTGGCAGGTCATGTGTCATGGTCACGATGAGCACAAATCATTCATGGCTCGACCTTTCTCCCCATCTCTGAGTGTGTGTTTGTGTGTGTGTTTAGCATGTATCTGCCTCCAGACAGCTTGCCCTTTGCAGTGCAACCTCAGTAATGAAACATGTAGGAGACTCTAAAGTGAATGAGGTGAAGATATTGCAGCACCGACTCTCCTCCTCTTTCTCCTTCGTTGGTTTATTTCTCAAAAACACTGATTGACCGTCCCTGCAGTACACTCAGCCTTTCTTTGCCTAAATGGCCTGACCAATTGTATTACTGCGTAGATATGAAGGACAGCTCCCTACGTCTGAGCCACACCCAGAAATAAGACTTCTACTGCGTCAGTCCTGCACCGTCACTTGGTCATCTGTGCAGATAAGCAGGGAACACAGTCCTATTTTAAAATTCCCTGACGCAACCGCACTTGAAAAAGCTGCTGCCACAGTGATAGAAAACACTTCAAGCTTCACTTAAAGGTGGGGTAGGTAAGTTTGAGAAACCGGCTCGAGATACACTTTTTGTTATATTCCATGGAATGCTCTTAACATCCCGATAGCAATGAAAGTGCTTTGACAAAAAAATCATTTTAGCCGGCCCGGCTAAAATAACTGGATGGCCTACCTGCCTGTCAGCCTTCCATCTGTGCACAAGCTTATCTCGTGCCCTCATTGGTCATGTGCGCGTTCGTGTGTGTTGGAGGAGGGGCTCTGTAAGGAAGTGGCAGATTTTTTCCGGCTGTGTATTTTCAAATTTTAGCGCACTCAAGATGGTTTTTCCAAAATGACCTACCCCACCTTTAAAGCCACAGTGTGCATGTAGAAAATTAGACCTTGTGGTCAGCCGGACAGAAACATCAAACGATTAGGGTTTAGTACTCCATCACTCTTACCACAGTGATGTCAAACCAACACGCTTTGATCTTAGACCTACCATTTGGGAACAGTTTTCTTATTGTTTGCTCTAAACTACACTTCTGTGAAACACCTTGGTCGTCAAGTCCCTCTCTACTGGGCTAGATCAATTACGCTTTAAAAACACTGCACTTTTTACTCTCACCAAGGAGGTCAGAATTTTGCTTCCAATCGTTTGTCTTTTTTGTTTGACAGTTTTTATACGATTTTTACAACATTTGACAAAGTGTTGATTTGAAGGCCATAAAACAAGTGTAGTTTTTGCTGTGGTTAAGATAGCAAGACCTCATATTATATAACGGCATATGAAACTCCGTCCCCCAGGCACACTTGTGTCTTTGGAAATTATGGGGGGTTGTATTTTCCAAAACTAACATTTCATCTTTTAGAACTTCTCATCCATGTTTGTTAAAGCAGTAAGCCGTTGAGCACTCCAGGATAAGCAAGTTAGTGGATTTTGAGTGCATTGTAACTTTTGTCTGCTTTTCCAGGCAAAAAAATTAACCATCAATCTCTTAATTATGTTTCCGGGGGTGTCTCTTTGAAAAGTGTGATTTTATATATCTTGTTTTGACATGTTTTGTCAGTGTCCTGTGGATGGGGCTGTGTCCTACTTGAATACAATCACTATATACACAAACAATAATAATTTATGAAGGCCACTGTGTGTTTTTATATTATGAGCAAGCTGGTGTGTGTGTTCAGGTGTAAGCAAGTGTGTGTGTGCAGCTTCATCTGCCACTTCTGCTCCTGTCAGCATCTACAGCCTTGAGTTAGCTTGTAGTAATTCAGCCAGATGAGGTTGCTCAGTTATTTACTGCCCTGCTGAGTCTGATGTATGTGCTGAATACTAGGTAACTTATGTCATTGAATTTCTCTCCTCTCAACCCTCCTTCATTCTATCTGTCCATCACACCTTATGGATAATGTTTAGTAATCCCAACCAGCTCCACATAGAGTCAGTCAGCCTTTCTGCAAACAGCTCAGGGCTGAGAGCCAGCCAATGGGAGCGGGGCCAGACATCGACCTGGACCTGTTACACTTCAACAGTCCAACAGAAGATTCTGGTCTCACGGTTTCTCACCCTCACTGCGTTATCTTTGCCACAACACTCTGTAATCAGCCTGCTCTCCACACGCCTGTATGTCTTTAGAGTGGACCTTAATGTTGACCAGCATGACATTTAGCAATAACACACCCATGTAACACTGGTGCATATAATATGGTCCAATTTGCCAATGCCTGGCGCTGAAACACTGCAGGGCCAAGCTGCCGATACATAGTTCTTGGAGACATTGTTGGGTCTAATAATGCATAATCTGGGTTTTCTAACTTCAAATCAAATCAAGTTTTATTTATAAAGCACATTTAAAAGCGATTTTTGGTCGAGCCAAAGTGCTGTACATGTAAATAACAAATGATTACAGAAAAGCTCCTATCAGGTCAGGTGGTTGCAATTTTGGCCTTACTGGTATTTTGTGAAATCTTTGGGACTTTCTTTGTTTCTTGTTTCTCTTTCTTTGTTTCTGCATAAAGTAATGAAACAGCTGAAGGTGAAATCCAAAGTGTTTCTCTGAAATCACAAGTCCTTATTATTCTTTTGGACTTTTTGACATAAGATGTACCCAACTCAAGATCACATGTTCTCAAAGTTACGTCATGTGCTGTACCACTTCCCTCATCCCATCTAAATGTCAGGTTTTGTTTTCTGTCTCAATCTTAAAAACACATATGGATTTTTTCCTTACATCATACGTGGTTTTAAGATAAGAACCAAAAAGTGAAAGAATTAATAAAACAGACATCAATGTCTTAAAAAAAACACACCTGTCACGGTATGAATTAATAAGTGAGAATAAGTTTGAGTCTTGTCATTCATTTTAAATGTGCTAAATTATTATATTACTCAATAGTGATTTTTCCAGTTGTAGAAAGACAGTGGTAGATTAAATAGAGCCGTGTGAGAAAGGAGATTTGGTTCAGTGCCTTGAATTTCTTCTGACAGTATCAATGGTATACCAATATTATCCTTCTTATGTGGTTCATTTTGAGAAATCAAGTTATCTTCAGGGGGTTGGCCACCAACACAATGGAAACTCCCAAAGTTTAAGAGTATGAGACCTCACTGGTGTGAGGTAACTCTGTGGTTGAGTGGGAATCTGCCAGTAGTTTATATAAACACCTAATCATTGTTGTGCCTTTAAGTGAAAACAGACAAATGTGTAATAACGGTTTCTGGAAATGATATTGTTGCTGCTCAGGTTGGGACATGTGAGGTTTTCCCCACAACAGGT